AATTGTAACTGAAAGAAACCCTTTCATGTTCAGAAGCACACTAAGTTTTTTGTGCTGAATTTAGCTGCTGTATCTGGAACTTGTGTTCTGTGTATTGTAAAAATGGGAAGAAATTAAAAATTAGTAAAACGGACATCTACATTCAAGTCATGAAGACCCACCCATCCCTGTACTGGGGAGAAAAGTATTTGAATCAGAATGAGAAAATCAAAGCCACAGCTAGAAAGCAATCCCAGCCCCTACTGTTCACACAGCACAGTGGTTTTCAAAATGTTTATAGCAGTGGTCCCCAAAGTGGGCGGTAGCACCCCCTTGGGGGTGTTGGAAAATTCCAGGGGGCACTAAGTGAAAAAAGAGCAGCGGGGGGGGGACTGAGAGGAAAAAAGAGGGTGGCAGGAAATTATGGGGATGGGAGTTGCAAGTAGGGTTGCCATTGCTGCTGAAAAACAGTGAAAGTCCTGGATTGAAGTCTTTGAAAAGCAGCATGTCTTGGATTCCAGAAGGCAGGAGTGAAAACAAGGGGGAAAACTAATCTAGATCCCACCCTTTAGGCTCTGGGTGGTATTGTGCAGACGTGCCAGACCCAGAGCCCAGAGACAGGAAGGGAGCAGTGAGGAGGCTTTCTTGTGTCCTAGTAAATGTGTGGCGATATGTTTGTGTATGTGTTTGAAAAAAAGGGGGGGACTTCTTAAGGTCCAGAGCCCCTCTTTCCTGTTGGTTGCATGCTAATGGGCTGGAGCTCCCCTTTCCTCCATTTCCCTCCTCGGTAGAAATGTGTGTTGTGTGTGTTTGAAAAAAATTGGGGGGGATATATGGACCCTCGAAGACAAACAATGAAGTCCAGGGGGAAAAAAATTGCAAATAAGTCCATTAGCAACACAACGAGAAACTGTCTTTGTTTTTCTGTCCTGTGTGAAAATACTTGCCCCCCCCTCCTTTGGCAGATAATATTGAATTTCTCAAGAAGTCTCTGTGTTGCTGCAGCTGAAAAAACCTTTAAATGCTGCTTAAAACATATCCAATGCGGTCCCATTTAAAAAAAATAAATGTTTGACTTTTGTTGGATGTAAAGACCTCAAAAAGTTAAGTCTCAGCCCTTTGTTCCCTGTTGTTTAGGCTTCCCTTGTTGTGTCTAAAATGCAGTATCCTGAAATCTAGAAAGCATA